CTGAAAAGTTCACCATGGGCAGAAATCCTTTATACGCGGGTACTGTACTCATTGAGCTCTACAAAATAACAAATACCCGATTCGAAACGGAGACTCACACTTGGGGACCTTCCCTCGTAAGGATAGATTATTCCACGTTGAATTTCAATGAACTCATTATTCTGCGGTCAAAATTTGATTGTCTGATCTTGTCAATAGGAAAGTTTGTAATTCTACATTTTGATTGAAAACGATCACGACTATGCTCTTGGAAATGAGCGATTACGCGACAATCCAGTGAAATATTTTAAGAACTAAAATCGATTGAAATATCATAATCCTATGGGGCTCGTCGGAAATTAACATCTGGTTTTTGTGGAAAAAAAATCAAGATCTTAATCAATTATAAGTAAAATAACGATCGATTGCAATTCTTTTTGAAGTATAGCGGCTAAATTATCGATAAAAAATTGAATCGAATTTGCATGATCTGGAAGACAGAACTATATCTTTAGAAATTTTGAAAAAAAATTGTCAAAGGCTCTTTTTGCTTCTTGTCTATCATATGTTTGGCTGGAAAATATAAAAACGAAAATGACGACTAGCCATGAAAAAAACAAACTTCAAAAACCGCGGTTTTCTTGCGGACCACCGCGGTGTCGTTTGAATACCCATAAAAAAACCGCGGTTAACCGCAGCTTTTCCTCCACAACGCTTCGAACAAACAGCAGTACGCTTTCGTGTAACCATGTGTTACACTGATGTCGCCTGTATACACACATTCTCTATATCAGTATTATCCTCTAACCTCTTTCATCTCTGTTTCATCTTGTATTCGTTGTTTTCGTTCTTCTCGTTCTTCTCATGATATATGTATTCTTTTATATCGTTATAAAAACAATTGTTAATTTTACGTTACGAAATAAAGTAGTCCCCGTACATCAAGGACGTACGTATACGTATATCTCTATCGAACCACACATAGAGAGAAAAGAGAACGTTAACAATTGGCGACCCTGCAAAACAACATCCAAAAATAAAAAAAAAATAAAATAATAAATAAATAAAATAAAAATTATTATTACAAACAAGCACGAAGTTAATTATTTAAAAATTTATATCAAATAGAGCCTCTATTTGAAAGAGACTCGAATATATAAATATTCATATCAAAGCCTTTTCAAAAAGAGACTTGTAATTTATTTTCCACAGAGCCTTTCGAAAAAGACTCGTATAATTTTTAATATATTATATTATTGATCTGATATTTAAATATTGTATTTCATTAATAGGTGAGAAAATCCTTTCTATTTAATGATATTATACATGCAAAAAATCTAAGAAATACTTTTGAGTAAACCGTTTTTGAATTTTCAAACAACAATAAAAAGTTGCATTTTTTCTGGAATATAACTAAAATCAAAAGGAGGGGGAATTACAATAGAAAAATATTGCTAAATTTCAATTGCTTAAACATTCATAATCAGAAATTCCAAAAAAAAAAAAAAGAATTTCGTTTAATCATTTATTTTTGCACTTTATTTCTCTCTCATTAATTCATATATTGTTTATCTTGATATTAATCACTATAATTATAATACATCAATAACGGCTAGCGGAACAAGATTTCAAGTTAAGAAAAATAATCAAACATTATTACCCCATAGTATTATTACAAATTCATTTTCTCGTTTATTTACACAATCAAATTTTAATATAATTTCAAAAATTGAATTAAATAAAAATACAATGACCGATAAAACATTATTAACAACAGCTAGAAAGGCTAGATTCGATGATTTACCAAATTTCTCTGGACATCCTTCTGAGGATGTCGAACGGTTTTTAAGAAGTGTTAAAAATATTACAAAAGCTAATGATGAATCAGAAAATCATGAAATTCTTGAAATCATACGTGGTAAATTAACTCAATCAGCAGGATTATGGTTCGATAATAATGAACATAATTTTAAAAAATGGTCAGATTTCGAAATTGCATTTCGAAATCGTTATTTCTCTACAACAATGATTCA